GCCATGCATAACAAGTAAAATGTGGTCACACGCCATGCATAACAAGTAAAAGGTTGTCACACACCATGCATAACATGTAAAATGTGGTCACATGCCATGCACAACAAGTAAAAGGTCGTCACATGCCATGCAAAACAAGTAAAATGTGGTGACACGCTATGCATATCAAGTCAAATGTCGTGACACGATATGCAGATGCAAAATTCTTTCAAAGCTTTGGTACGACCATAAGACCATAAAATCCGGAAGAAAACAGTTTAACTAAGGCAATAACATTTCAAAAATCACCTTAAACTAAACTAAACATAATTTCCTCTTAAACTAATCTAGCACAACAATTCCAAAAGGCAATAACATGAACATATCAAACAAACCCAACAAAAAAGTAAAGAACAGAAGAAAGTTTTAATTTCAGACTGACTGACCTTTTCATTGATAACCGACATTGTTGCCCTCGTCTTGTTAAGCTTGCAAAGAACGAAGTCCGACTCTTTGGTACCTTTAGGAATAAAGAATGAATCAAACTCTCTAAGAACCCTTCACATAGACGTTTGCGATTTCTAAAAAATAATTAATTTAAAATGAGATAACCTTATAATATCCATTCAATGAAAGTTGAACCGGTTTCCTCGTTTTTTGCCCGCTTTTTCTCTTTCGCTTTCAAACCATGTCGTGTCACGTGGTGACAAGCCATGCCATCTGACACACACCTGACGTGTCACAGATTCTCTCAGTGGAGTGTCACAACCCTGAACGTTGCCGTGTCACAAACCTTGAATGTTGTCATGTCAAACTCTGAACTCTAGTGTATCACAAATTCCCTCCATGGCGTGTCACAAAATCTGAATATTGTTGTGTCACAGATTCCATCCATGCCATGTCAAACTCTGAACTCTGGCATGTCACAGATTCCCTCCATGCCGTGTCACAAACTCTAAATACTGTCGTGTCACAGATTCCATCCATACCGTGTCAAACTCTGAACTTTGACGTGTCACAGATTCCCTCCATGCCGTGTCACAAACTCTGAATACTGGTGTGCCACAGATTCCCTCCATGGCATGTCACAAACCCTAAACCCTGTCGTGTAACAGATTCCTTCTATGGCGTGTCACAAACTCTGAATACTGTAGTGTCACAGATTTCATCCATGCCGTGTCATACTCTGAACTCTAGCATGTTTCAGATTCCCTCCAAGCCATGTCACAAACTTTGAACACCGGCGTGTCACAAACCCTGAACCTTGCCTTGTCATAGATTCCCTCCATGGCGTGTCACAAACTCTAAATACTATCGTGTCATAGATTCCATCCATGCCATGTCAAACTCTGAACTCTGGCGTGTCATAGATTCCCTCTATGTCGTGTCACAAACTCTGAACTTTGGAGTGTCACAGATTCCCTCCATGCCGTGTCATCAAACTCTGAACCCTGTCGTGTCACAGCCCTGTCACATATTCCCACCATGCCGTTTCATGCCACATTCTCTTCCGTGTCACATATTATCACAATGTCAACCCACATATTCCCTCCGAGTCGTGTCACAAACTCTAAACCCTATCGTGCCACAGTTGTCTCACATATGCCTTGTTGTAGCACGATGATTTCGTGCTTTGGATTCACATCTTTCTCCTTCCGATTCACCACCGTTTCACGGATTTCTGGTTGCACATCATCCTTGAAGCCTTCGATTCACCAAGACCGACTCTAAATGCCATATCCGAAATATCTGAAAAACCTTCTCATGCAACATTATTTTGCTACGCATAAGCTTAGCTAAAAAAAATGGATGTTTTGCAGAAAATTAGAAGTTCGCAAATTATTTGCATATTTATCTTTTTATTTTTTTATTTTTTGCGTGTTTAATGGTGCGCTTTAACGAATAGGTCTCATTAAAGGCATTTTTGTCTCAAAATTTACTGTGGTAGTTAAAAACAATTAAAATTATCTCGGTGCTTATTTTCAAAAACACTTTATTTTTTAGGGCTAAAAAAAAGTCTCTTGGAAAAACTCTTTTCCTTGGCTTATCCCTTTCCTCGCATCCACTCACGGAGTTTTTATGACTCACCAACTATTTTTTTTTAGTTTTATAGATCAATAGCTCGCTTGGTTAGGTGTCTTGTGGAGGAGTAGCTTATCTCATACTTGGTTGGTGTAATAGTGCCTTTCTTGTAGCCCTCTAACATCACTATACTTTGTAGTAGGTTGAGTCAAGTCTTTTAATGTTATTACTTAAATGGTACCTTTTTTATTTTTTTTTTTATAATTTGGAGAAGGGGGATTCAAACTATGTTTTTAGGCAAGGGGTTATATACCAAGTAATGAGCTAAATGCTTAAGTATACTATTTAAATGGTACTTTTTTATGTAATAAGTATTGATATACTCATGTTTGTTATTCACTATGAATATTATGTTAAGCCCTAGAAATGGATGCGAATAATGTTGATAATATGGCGCACGGACTATAGGATTTATAGGCACGAAATGTGTGCTGAACCACAGATGATATGTATAAATGGGAATTTTGCTATAATATGAGATAGAAATCACACTTCATGTTGAAGAGTTCCATGCTTGTGTGACAGTGTGTACGTGATGAATGTATGTATAACGATCCACACATTATGTTGATAAGTTCCATAATGGTGTGATGATGTTTACATAATTGTGTTGATATAGAAATGCAGTCCATGACCAGCCCACACATGATATGTGTAAGGCATGCTTGAGCCTAGTGGATCCTATTCACGTAAGTCCATACACCGATCATGTCCCGAAAATAAGATGTGACAACTATTCAAGAATCTGATACAAAAAATGTGACTTGATGTGATGATACATAAAAGATGTAACGCATTTCAAATATGAGCCACATACTTTCTCCAATATGGTCTACTCTTGCACCCTGTAATGTCGTGATCCAAAAAGAACTAAATTCGAAACCTTGGTAAAAATATGGACATCCTTCATCCTGGATATTCTTTGAAACATATATATATATGCGCCTTCGCATTAAAAGATACCAGCAGCCTGGGTTAGTTCTGCACGTTTCTTTTTCTAGTGATTGGTTTTCTTGAAGAATACCAAAATGAATGATGAATACTTGTTATTAATCGAGAGATGCAGACAAGAGTTTTAGTTGCTTATTTAACTTAAATTGATTGGAACTCTATATATTTTGTATCATTTGATTGGATATTCCTATTTCTCCACACGAACATGAAACAATAGATTCTAACAAAGACAAAAAACAAAAAAAATAGAAAACTTTTGTTTGAGACATGATTCCCAAACTGAAGGAGAAAAGAATTGCACAATATGAAAAGAGATAAGGAAAGCCCCAGAACTGATTCTGTTTTACAACAAAAGATGATTTCAAGAATTCAGTTCTATGATTAAACTTAAACTCACAGAGGCCAGAGCCACATGCATGCATGGCTATCTTGTAACTACATATCTAGTCTTTATTTTATTGTCTTATTGTCATTTCAGAGGCTTTATATCTTTCATTAGAGCTCAGCATTATGTCATGAATATAAAAAATCCCAAGTTTCCAACCAATCTTTAATTATGGACTCAATAGTCATGTATCAACAGATGACTCATCTAGATGTAAACCCAAAATTAAATCCAGGACCTGCAAATTGCAATGAGGAAAAATGAGTAGATCAGATTGGGTGCCGACAATTATTGATTCTTACATAAAGATTGGAGGCCCCTCCATACATTTATAGAACTCTTCCTCTTTTTTGGAATGTCCCTACTATATATAATGACTCTTGACATTATTTTTGGCAGCAAATTTGATTCAATGCATAGGATACACTACTTATTGGAAACTTTTTTCCTATATGGCATAGCTAATATTATTGGCTAAGATCATTTTTAATTCTTCTGCCTTTTTTTTTTTTTGGCCCTCTCTCTCTACCAAACAAAACCAAAAGTAACAGGCCAGCGGCATTAATTCTTTGATCCAAAGAAGTCTCATTTCAGTTGTAATATGATGGACCAACCACCCAAAACGTCAATTCAGTTCATATATAATTGAAGAACAAGAAAAATTAAACTAACGAAAAAAGAGAGAGTAAAAAAGCACAGAATGCCCGATCGATGCTTTACATGTATAGCATGCGATGCAAGAACAAATTTGATTTTGATTACTTTCAAAGTCTCGCTTGGAGTTTGAAATTTCGAAATTGAGTGGTTCTTATAAATTACATGCAACTTCTCCAAGCCATGACATTTGGGCATGGGTACTGCTTTTCAAGTCATGCGTGCCTAGGTGATTACTTAGTCTCCTCTAGCGTTTCAATCCATTGTCATGATGCCCCATATTAACAAACATGCCAGTCATCAAACAGGAAAGAATAGAAATAGCACCACTCCTACTGTCTTAAGTACAACCATATCTGCACATGCATGCGAGCAAAGAATTTTAGCAAAGGCTACAGCTATGGCAAATTGGCAATCCTAGCCCCTCTACGCTCTAGACTTTGAATTGAGGTCGTCTTCCATTTATGTCACATAGAAAGTGGACCATACTTTCGCTCTCAAACGAACTGTCAATTAAATTTTAGTCATTAGCAAGCAATAATTACACAGGCATGAGAGGAAGACGCGTCTCTGCTTAAGTGGGGACTGGCATGGGGTGCTAATTATAATTCAGGGATGCTTCCTTTTCAACAGATCAATTTGCACGCGTTGCTTATATATATTTAGAGCTCTTTGGAAGATTTTCTCCAAGGATAGGAGCTGCAAGTTAAAGAAAGTTAAGCAATATTGTCTTTCCTTTGAATATCCAGATGGAGAACAAGGAGGACAAAGCTAGTAAATTATCTGATGATCATAAGACTAAGGCCATCAAATATAGAGGAATTAGAGCCATGCCCTTCATCATTGGTACGTAAGATTCCAAATGAAATTAAATTATACGTGTTTCATTCAAGCTAACGTTCTTTTCCCTCTTCAATTCATATTGTGAAACATGCAGGAAATGAGGCTTTCGAGAAGATTGGCACCTTGGGCACCATATCAAACTTGCTGGTGTATCTCACGACTGTGTTCAACATGAAGAGCATCACGGCCGCGACGATTATTAATATCTTCCAGGGCACCACAAACATGGCTCCTTTGCTTGGTGCTTTCCTCTCTGACACTTACTTTGGACGTTACAAGACGCTGGCCTTTGCTTCCATAGCCTCTTTCTTGGTACTTTCATTACAATTGCCCTAATTACCAGGTCAAGAAACTTATATATACATGATCAGTTAAAGTTTGCAGTGCCAGGAAACCATCTCTCATGATCATTCTCTCCATCCCCAGCGACCAGCTAGTTTTCAAGCTTAAAATTCGGCTAAAATAATGGAAAAAGTGATGTAGTCTTTGGTTTTTCTTTGATTTTGCTTTCATTTTCAAATGGTTTTTAGAAACAAAACTTTAACAAATGTTAAGAATCGAGTGTTGGGCAGCTTCTCTTCGGACTGCTATCAATGGAGCTTCCTTTTAATCACTAACTACGCTGTTTCGCTTGGAAGGTTTCTATTAAAATGAAGTCTTCAAATAATTTTCCTTCTCTGTGAGATCATTATCAAAGTAATTAAGATTGCCTTTGTTTCGACTCATTTTGTGGTTTTCCAAGGGAATGGCTGTTTTAACACTGACCGCAGCAATCTACAAATTGCACCCTCCAAAATGTTCCACTTCAGATATTGGCACATGTGTTGGACCGACAACCGGGCAATTAGCCTTCCTCCTCAGTGGTTTCGGCTTTCTAGTTATTGGAGCTGGAGGCATCAGGCCTTGTAACTTGGCCTTTGGAGCAGACCAGTTTGATCCTTCCACCGAATCCGGGCAAAAGGGTATCAACAGTTATTTCAATTGGTTCTACTTCACCTTGACATTTGGTATGCTGGTATCTGTCACTGTAGTTGTCTACGTTCAATCAAGTGTGAATTGGGCCATTGGGCTAGGAATCCCGGCAGGCTTAATGGTGTTGTCATGTGTATTATTTTTCATGGGTTCAAGAATCTATGTCAAAGTGAAACCTGAGAGTAGCCCTCTTGCTAGAGTGGCACAGGTTATAGTTGCTGCCACAAAAAAGCGTCATTTGCAGCTGCCTGACGATGAGCCTAGAAAGCTCTGTCTTTTTAACTATATGCCAGACGATTCTATCAACTCCAAGCTGCCACACACAGATCAATTCAGGTGAATAACTACTCAATTTGTTTGGACGGACATGCTAATTAATTAGTTCTAGAAAACGATCATATATGTTTCATGAAGAAATTAAATAACTTGCAATGATTATTAATAAGTTCCAACAAGAAAGCCTGCTAATAGTACTAATATATTAACTGTACAATGATGACATCAGATTTCTTGACAAGTCCGCAATCTTAACTCCCGAGGACCAAATAAATTCTGATGGGTCAGCAGCCAACGCATGGAAACTTTGCAGCATCCAGCAAGTGGAAGAGGTAAAGTGTTTGGCTAGAGTTATCCCCGTATGGGCATCATCCATTATCTTCCAAACTTCATTGGTCCAACAAAGCATCTACGTAGTTTTCCAAGCATTTCAATCTGACAGAAGGCTCGGTAGTGGCGGCTTCAAGGTGCCTGCAGCATCTTATACAGTCTTTCAAATGCTGAGCCTTACATTATGGATTCCTCTATATGATCGCGTGTTGGTTCCGTCTCTTCGAAGACTTACTGGAAAACAAGGTGGAATCACATTGCTTCAAAGAATGGGAATTGGGATTATTTTCTCACTCATTACAATGCTTCTCTCTGGTTTAGTTGAGAAGCAGAGACGGAATTTGGCTCTTACAAGGCCAACACTTGGTGTTGCACCAAAAGGGGGTGGTATATCATCTATGTCTGGCTGGTGGCTAGTCCCGCAGCTTTTTCTCTCTGGAATTTGTGAGGGTTTCAATTCCATTGGTCAGATTGAATTTTACTATAAGCAATTCCCTGAAAATATGAGAAGCATTGCTGGTTCTTTCTTCTTCCTTGGCCTTGCAGGGTCTAGTTACCTAAGTGGCTTTCTTGTTTCCATAGTGCACCATATCACGTCAAGAACTGAAGCTGGGGACTGGTTACCTGAAGATCTAAACAAAGGAAAATTGGATTACTTCTATTACTTGATTGCTGCTTTGGGGTTCATTAACTTTGTTTACTTCCTAGCCTGTGCTAAGTGGTACAGATATAAAGCTGCTGATGAAACCATTGGATTGAGTGCCACTGGAGAAAAGCAGACTGAAAAGCTCATTGTCTGATAGCACAAGAATTTGCTACTAGTTTTTATAGATAATTAAAAAGCAAGAAATAAGCAGAGGAACTACAGCTGTACCGAATGCTGTCTGCAATGTGATTGCCGTTGTATTCTGAATCATATCAGTAATTGTAAGAATAATGTTCACCTCTATGACGGAGCAGAATCTGGCATTAACATCAATTTTCTCTCTCCGGAAACTGAAATTTCCAAGTCCAGAACATCTATCGATAAATCATGCCTAGAATGCACTTTTCTGCTTGTTTTAAGTCTTCAACTTATTCCTTTAAGCACCTACTTCATTTCCATTAATCAAAATACTTCAAATCATGCATATATAACTCAAATCTTTATATAAATACTCAAACACAAGATCAAAACTCCAATTCAAGCATCAAACCTTCGGATTACTCAAATGTGTTCATAAAATTTGCCTAAGGATCATAAGGCATAAGTCCACATATTTAACACATTTTCATATTCCACAAACATATACATCATATTTTAAACTTACTTATCACTTCACTTGGCCAACCTCAAGTATAGGCCATATCAAAAAATCAAGAGTGTTGCATTCTCCCCTTCTTATAAGAAATTTGTCCCCGAATTTCAAGTCATACACCACATTCACAGCACATATGTCAAACCTCAAAGAGATGGGGATATTTCTCTCTCATTTCCTTCTCAAGTTCCCATGTGGCCTTTTCAACTGCATGGCTTTGCCACAATACTTTCACCGTAGCAATGTCCAATATGGCTATGAGTTGCTCCTCGTAACTAAGTCCATTTTGCAACTAGACTTCTCCATATTGTATCACATGCGAAGGATTAGGAACATATTTCCTAACCATGGACACATGAAAAACCGGATGAACATCGGACAAATTAAGCGGTAACATTAAGTAATATGCAATTGCGCCCATACGCCTTAGTACTTCAAAGGGTCCGATGTACCTAGGGCTTAATTTCCCTTTCCTCCTAAATCTTCTCACTCCCTTGATTGGCGAAACTTTCAAAAACACATAGTCATTAACTTCAAACTCTAAAGGCTTTTGCCTATTATCAGCATAAGATTTTTGACAAATTTGATATGCGAGCATCTTTTCTTAGATTACTTGGTCACCCCGCTTGGCTTCTTGGATCATCTCTAGATTCAAAAGCTTTTGTTCCCTAGCTTCAAACCAACCAATAGGCAATTTACATCTTCGCCTAAACAAAGCTTCATAAGGATCCATACCGATTATGGCTTGGTAACTGTTATTATAAGCAAACTCGGTCAAAGGCAAATAATGATTCCATGAGACTCCAAAGTCGAGCACAATCGCTCTTAACATAACTTTAAGCGTTTGAATAGTGCGCTCAGATTGGCCATTTGTTTGTAGGTGGAAGGTCGTACTAAAATCCCATCTAGTGCTTAACCCTCTTGCAATTTCCTTCAAAATTGACTCGTGAACTATGATCTTCTATCGAATACCATCGTTACCAGAACACCATGTAGCCTTACAATCTCATTAATGTAAATCTAAGCATACCAAGCTGCTCCACACTTTGTCTTGATCAACAAAAAGTGAGCTAACTTAGTGAGTTGATCAACTATTATCCAAATGGCATCATAGCCACCTTTAACTTGTGGTAAACCCGGCACAAAGTCCATGGCTACATGTTCCCACTCTCATTCGGATATTAATAATAGTTGTAGTAGTCCCGATAGTCTCTGATGCTTAGCTTTCACTTGTTGGCAAGTCAAACACTCAAAGACATATTCAACCATGTCTCTCTTTAATCTTGGCCACCAATACACAAACATCAAATCATGATACATCTTGTTAGCTCATGTGTATCGCATAGGCAGCCACATGTGCCTCTTCAAAAATCTCATTTCTCATAGTATCCATATTTAGCACATAAATTCATGATTGATATCTCATTAAACCATATGTGTCGTATACGAAGTCTTGAGATTTATCTATGCTCATGCCTCAAAATATTTTTATCATATATTCATCCTAATTCTTGACTTTTTTAATCTGATTTAACATCATGGGTTGAACTCTAAAGTGTGCCAACAAGGCATTCAAGTGATTAATCTCCAAATGTACTCCCATATTGCCCAGATCATACAAACTATGCACTGAAGATTGTCTCTCTAGAGTCACATGTGCCAAACTCCCCATCAACTTTCGACTTAGAGCAGTCGTTACCATGTTCACTCTGCCAAGATGGTAAAGTATGGTGTAGTCATAATATTTTAATAACTCCAACCACTTACGCTGCCTTAAATTCAAATCCCCTCACTAAAATATATACTTCAAGCTTTTGTGGTCTGTATGAATTTCGTAGGTCTCTCCATACAAATAATGTCTCCAAATCTTCAAGGAAAAATACAATCATTGCCATCTCTGCATCATGCGTAGGGTAATTTTGTTCATACCGCTTTAATTATCGTGAAACGTATGCAATGACCTTCCCGTGTTGCATCAACATGCAACCTAATCCAACCTGTGATGTATTGCAATACACGGTGTAGCCTCCAAATCCACATGACAGGCTTAACACAAGTGTAGAAGTAAGCTAGCCTTTAAACCTATAAAAACTAGCTTTACATGCATTAGACTTGTCAAACTTAACTCCCTTTTGAGACAGTCTTGTCAAAGGGGATGTAATCTTAGAAAAATCTTGTACAAATCGTTTGTAATATCCGACTAAGCCCAGAAAACTTCTAACTCCTGTTACAATTCTCCACAACTTCCACTTTGTTGGGATCCACTTACACCACGTGTCCTAAGAAACTAACTTTATTTAGCCAAAACTCACACTTTAAAAATTTAGCATATAATTTATGCTCTCTTAGGGTCTGAAGTACAATCCTCAAATGTTGTGCAAGTTCTTTCGGGCTTTTAGAATACACTTGAATGATTATCTCCACACATCTCACATACTGCAAATGAATTTTGAACCATATAAACTCCCACTGTGTCAAACTTTTTGGATAACCCAGTCACTTGTGCAACTACTTGATTAGTTAAAGTGCTAAGTGCATCAATTTCATAGGCTTCAACAGCTTTTCTAGGACCAGACTTTTTTAAAGGCCATTAATAATTATTTAAGGCCATATCTTCCAATATATTATAACCACCTATAGCATTCTTACTCATTAATGCCCCACCAACAGCAGCATCAATTGTGGTTTTTATTGAACCAACTAGCCCATTGTAGAATATCTGAACTTGCAACCAATCAGGAATCCCATGATGTGGACAACTTCTCAGTACTTCTTTAAATCTCTCCCAAGTTTCATATAGAGATTCACCTTCAAATTGTGTGAAAGAGGTGATATCTTTCCTCATCTTTGCAGTCTTGGCAGGCGAAAGAATTTTGCTAGAAATTTTTGAGTTAAGTATTCCCATGTAGTAGTACACCCATTGGGCAGTGAATTAAGCCAACTCTTTGCTTTATCCCTCAAAGAAAATAAAAACAATCTTAATTTAATAGCATCATCAATTACTCTGTTGTATTTGAAGGTATTGCAAATTTCTAAGAAATTCACCAAATGACAATTAGGATCATCACTAGGCAACTCACCAAACTAGACTAAAGACTGAATCATCTGAATGTAGGTTCGTTTAATTTCGAAATTATTTGCATTGATGGAAGATCTTCTAATGCTTTGGTGTAAACCTTGCAAAAGAGGAACACCATAATCTCGTAATGCTCTATTTTCTTCGAAAACCAAATGAATGGCATTATTGCCATTGTTGTTGTTATCTTCAGCCATTTTTGGATTTAAAGTTGCAACGTGCAAATTCTCCATTCGACGTCTTCTGAAAGTTCTTTCTATCTTAGGATCAAAAGGAATAAGATTCAAGTTGTTTTTTATTTGCATACAATGACCAAAGATATCTACAAATAAATAAAAACTAATATTAAAAAAAGAAAAATAAAGTTTGAAGTAAGACTAAATTGCTTGGTATTAATATTAGTAAAAATTCTAGAAACAATTCCGCAACAACGACGTCAAAAACTTATCAGTTAAAATTCTATTACATAAGTATACATATCAAATAGACAATATCTAAGCAAACAGAGTATCGATCTCATAAAGTATTGATCTAAAATTTTACGAAGTACTAAAATTAGAACAATTTAATTTTATTCAAATAATTAAAATCTGAATTTTAATTAAACTAAAAACTACTCAACAAAACTAATTTAATTAAAAATTAATGCAAAAAGATAATGGGGTAAAAAGCAAATTAAATAAGCCTAAGATTACAATATCCCTCACACTTCAGCTAAATCTTAGCTTTCTTTCTGAACTTATTTCAATGGGTTGAATTGCTAACCTAAAGTCCTCAATTATTTATAAGTGTCTCTTGACTTTTCTTATAAAAATATCTATTTTAACCAAAATACTATATCTCTATGTGAATTAAAATTAATGCAGATTCCTTAAGTTCAGGCTCTAATTCTAGCTACATATGGCATATAAGAATATCCATATCCTATACACAAATCAATTAATATGATTATATGCTATCCCAACTTTATTTAGGTTCCTAGATCAATTTAATTGGTGGCCAAGTAATTAAAAGCATTAAGAACAAATCAGAATAAATAATTCAACTCCATTGAAAATAAGCAAGAAAGAGATTAAAAATTTAGATTACATGTGAGTTCAATTGTAATCCTAGAAAAAGAAATTTAGCTACTTATAATTATAAAGATAAATTACATTATATAAAATTCAACCATTGAGAGTAACAGGAAAAATAAAAGCTAAGGAAGAAAACAAAACAATTAACTGTAGTTTTGTTTCTCGAGTTTCCGCCTCAATTTTCAACTTCTTGAATCTCTAAAAGTTCTCTTATTTCTCTTAAAACATGCTGTTTATACAAACAATCTTAACCGAAAAGTCCCTAAGTTAACCTACTAATTCTAATTAAGCTTAAAAGTGTAATGAGAGGCCCAAATATCAATTTTCAGTTTTAAAATTGCCATTCCAGCAATAGTATGGCTAGTCCTCTTTCGACATGATTTTCTCTATCTTCAAGGCAGAACTAGGCAAAGTGATTTATGAAATTGTATCTCTGTCTCTTAGCTTTCCAATAGTCTAAGAATCACATCATTTGGAGTTCTGTAACGCAAGTTATGGTCAAAATACTGAAATATATGCAAGTAAATTTATAGGTCTTTCAACACCTTGCTTTCTAAAATTAAACCCAATTCTCTTAATTCTTACAAAAATATAAAAACTAATAAATAATAATCAAATTA